TGAACTAGCGAGTTTAGGTATATTGGTGCAGCGCCAGTGGTTGTCTTGTAGGCAAGCATCAGTACCTTGAATTTGATGCGAGCGGCTATTGGCAGCCAGTGCAAGCTGATGAAGAGAGGTGTGACATGAGCTTTCTTCGGCTCGTTGAAGACCACTTTGGCTGCTGCATTCTGGATCAATTGCAGAGGCTTGATAGTGCATGCGGGAAGGCCTGCCAAGAGAGCATTACAATAGTCCAGTCTGGAGAGAACAAGAGCTTGGACAAGGAGTTGTGTGGCTTGCTCTGATAGGAAGGGTCTAATCTTCCTAATGTTGTATAAGGCAAATCTGCAGAACCGGGCCGTTGTAGCAATACGGTTTGTGAAGCTTAACTGATCATCGATCACAACTCCTAGGTTTCTGGCTGTCCTGGAAGAAGTTATGGTTGATGAACCCAGCTGTATAGAGCAGCTGTGATGAAACGATGGGTTTGCTGGAACCACAAGCAGTTCTGTCTTAGTAAGGTTGAGTTGACACTTCTCTGGGCAAGTCAGACCTCGCGATCGTGGGACAGCACTGGCGAAATCTTCCAACTGAACCATAGCTAAGGTTTATCCAAAAAAGTCGCTAGGTTTGTCAGTATGAATATTCTATGGAAAAAAGCCGTTAAAAGGGTCTGAAAGTTGCTAAATCTAGTGCTAAAGTCGCTCTCGTGCGCGGGAGCTGATGGCAGGGGGCGGTGGATATTTGTGGCGGTCAATGTGGATATTGTGGATGAGTTCTTCTTTGTCATCACGTTCTATTAGTTCTACAGTTTCAGTTTCTGAACTTTCACGCTTAGTAACACATACAGCTGCTCCCTCACCACAGTGCAACAGTGAAAAGAGACCCCTTTCAAACAGTGTCGCGTTCTGAACGTTGTTTAAGTGACATACACCGGTATTGCGGTATTTTAAAAATTCATATCATAACAAAAATAAACACCGGTATTCGGTATGAACCGGTATACCGCCCAGCACTAATATGAAGTTATCATCAGTTTGTGGTGTGGGGAATTGGTCTCTGATGGTTCTTGTTTTATTTGTGAAGAAAATGGCAAAGTCATCAGCTGTAAGAGTTGATGAAGGAGGAGGGGGAAGAGGACAGAGAAGAGAAGAGAAGGTTTTGAAAAGTGTGCGAGGGTCAGAGCAGTTGTTAATTTTTTAACATTTTTAACAAGATTTATGACAATAGAAGCAATCAGAATAAACAAAAGAGCAATGATACGCAAGTGCTATAACAAGTCTCAGTTAGCCTAACACAGTACACGTAGCAAGGGTTTTTTTAATTCTAAAATAAAAAGAAAACAGATAGAATAGAAAAAGAAAAGAGCAAGCTAGTGATAGAGGTAGTGTGATAGTGATAGTGATAAAAGCTAGTGTTAGTTATGTTTAAAGAAAACAAGCAGTTAGTAAATTAATAGAGTGCAAGTCTAAAAGGGGCAAGTTTTTTTTTTTTTTTTTTTTTCCAACGAAGTCAACAGAAAAACAAACAGCACACAAACATTAAAATGACTGACGATTCAGAGTCGCCTGCTGTAGAAAACCTCTGTGATGAGCATTAGGGGTTTAATTGTTTATTTATGGAATGGATCATGTATTTTATGAGAGTGTAAATGTGTCCCATTAACCCAGAAACTGTGAAGCGTCCGGCACAAATGTAGCATGAAGACTGAAGCACAAACAGGAATCCGTGACGTGACGTCTTCACTATAGTGCTCTGTGTGAGATACTGAGGCAATGCACATGTTGGCTGTGAAGGAGAATGAGGTGTTTTTGGGACAGCTAACAGCAGACTACAGCTCATGCCACATCATCATCATCATCATCATCACTACACAGGGCTGCTGAATGCTGCTCTCTGCTGGTCTGATCGTCTCTCAGATGCAGATGTTCCTTCAGATTCCTGAGGTTCTCAGGTCTCAGATCAACACACACACACACACACACACACACTCACACACACACACACTCACACACACACACACTCACACACACACACACTCACACACACACACACTCACACACACACACACTCACACACACACACACTCACACACACACACACTCACACACACACACACTCACACACACACACACTCACACACACACACACTCACACACACACACACTCACACACACACACACTCACACACACACACACTCACACACACACACACTCACACACACACACACTCACACACACACACACTCACACACACACACACTCACACACACACACACTCACACACACACACACTCACACACACACACACTCACACACACACACACTCACACACACACACACTCACACACACACACACTCACACACACACACACTCACACACACACACACTCACACACACACACACTCACACACACACACACTCACACACACACACACTCACACACACACACACTCACACACACACACACTCACACACACACACACTCACACACACACACACTCACACACACACACACTCACACACACACACACTCACACACACACACACTCACACACACACACACTCACACACACACACACTCACACACACACACACTCACACACACACACACTCACACACACACACACTCACACACACACACACTCACACACACACACACTCACACACACACACACTCACACACACACACACACACACAGACACACACGAGTCAATATAATAAACACTACAGAGCATTCATTAGACACTACAGAGAACACAGCATCCAGAACATTACAGAAAAAAAGTATTGAGTAAACAATTTTGCAATTCTGTTGTCTGACAGATCCAGCCTTGATAAACCTTCCTCTTTCTCTCCTCATCCTCCACTTCTAACATGTACTCTTCCTCCTCTCCTTCTCAGATTGTGTCCATCTATTGTTCGTCTCATCATTCAGTCACCTGTGCCACGTGTGCACTCTGAACTGGCTCATATTTTGTACAGTTGGTTTGATCACATCATTAGAAACAAGTGTGAACAAGTTTGAATCGTTGTGTGTAAACGATGACAACTGTGCTTTAGTTGTGTTTAACTTTTGCCGCTTGTGTTTAGCATTTTGCAGCACAAATGCAACATGTACTCTTCCTCCTCTCCTTCTCAGATTGTGTCCATCTATTGTTCGTCTCATCATTCAGTCACCTGTGCCACGTGTGCACTCTGAACCGGCTCATATGTTGTACAGTTGGTTTGATCACATCATTAGAAACAAGTGTGAACAAGTTTGAATCGTTGTGTGTAAACGATGACAGCTGTGCTTTAGTTGTGTTTAACTTTAGCCACTTGTGTTTAGCATTTTGCAGCACACATGCATCACAGTGTGATAACTTTAAGTGAATGAGAATGTGTTTAGAGTTTTGCATGAGATCTGCAAATAGAGCCTAACTGCCTGAACGTGTTTAAGGTTTAGCAGAAAGAGTGTTTTATTCGACTAATTGGTTTAAGCTAGTGAGAATTTGGTTCAGAGATTGGGGTTTAGTGTTTTAGCAGTTCAGAAAAACTGTAATGGGAAATTACTACTTTATTGCATGTCTTCAAAGTGCAGTAACTCATCAGAACATTTAACTCATGCTTCAAAACCTACTTAAATTGGCCAATGCCACCAAAACTCAAATGTTTTTGTCATCATGTGAGCCAAACTGGTCAAAATGCTGAGATGTGTTTTCAGCAAGCCCTGGAAATATTTCTTATATGCAAACTTCATTTTTGTTGATACAGACTGCTTATGTCATGCAACCATAAAAATCACATTTGCATATGCATTTTTACACATTTCTTACGTATATAGTCAAATAGTCATGAACAACTGCTTCCACTTGATTGCTAAGATTGAGATTTCTGTTTCATTACTATGGCAGATTTAGCAAACATCACACTGATAGATATTTATGAATATGTATGTGTGACAGATTTTGATGAATAAGTAGATCCTTTTGCATGTGAAGATGACAGTGCTCACACATGACAGACTGTTCAGAAGAGTATTAGTTATTGTGCTCATTTCAGATGATTGTATTTACTCTTGCGCCAAAACACACAAGAACTTAAAATCTGATGAGAACCTTGACAGAATGTTCACAAAAACAAAATGTAGAATTAAGCCAAAGCGGCTGAGTAAAGTGTGTGTGCGTGTGTGTGTGTGTGTGTGTGTGATCTGAGTGTGTGTGTGTGTGTGTGTGTGTGTGATCTGAGAGCACCGGTTGGTTTTGATGAAGAGTCAGAGGTTTCGTGAATTTAGTTTGAGTATTTGGATTTGTGTTTAAGGTATTGAGAAAATGAGTGATGGTTTCAAGAAAGGTTTTTTAGCAATTCAGAAAAACTGTAAGCAGCTGTAACAAATTAATGTTAAGACTGTTTCAAAAAATGAGCCGAAGCAATCGAAAAAATACTATACTTCATATAACGTCATTTTTAAACCACTACAAAACAATCTTTGATGGCTGTCATGTTTATTTTATTCAAATGAAATTTCCAAACAAAATGAACAATTTTGAAAAAAAAAAAAAAATCATAAAAATATATCTAAATAAATGAGAAGAAAAAATTAGCAGATCACATAACAATAAACATAACAATCTTTCCTACAAAACATAAATTAATTATTATATAAAATTATTATATTTAAAATTATACAAAAACACCAAAAAGTGAGCATACATTCAAAACGTTTTTGTTGCCTTTTTGCTACAGGAGGTAGACAAAGATTTAATATAGATTTTAATGTCTTCTTGAATGTGAGAAAAGTGGGGGTAACTTCATAATCTTGCATTTGTGGATAATTAACAATTTTATACTAAGACTGCGGAAAAGCCACGGTGACGTTCTGTGACGTAGTTACGCACGTACGTGCATTGTCAGGCGTCAAACAACTAGTGATGGGAAGTCCGGTTCTTTTCCGCGAACCGGTTCTTTCCAGGGCGACCGCGTGGAGTTAGAGCAGGGCGACCGCGTGGAGTTAGAGCAGGGCGACCGCGTGGAGTTAGAGCAGGGCGACCGCGTGGAGTTAGAGCAGGGCGACCGCGTGGAGTTAGAGCAGGGCGACCGCGTGGAGTTAGAGCAGGGCGACCGCGTGGAGTTAGAGCAGGGCGACCGCGTAGAGTTAGAGAGTTAGAGCAGGGTGACCGCGTAGAGTTAGAGCAGTGATTCTAATGCTGAATGCTGAGATGATGGTGCTGCAGCTGCTCTGGAGTCACTGGAGTGGCAGAGATCAGTGTTTGTAAATGAACAATATTAAAGAATACTAATAGTAATAGCGTTAGAAGTTATCTTGTTATTGAACCAACATCTAAGCAAGGGTTTCTTGTGGTCTTAAAAGGTCTTCCACAAATTAAGGCCCTAAAAGCTCTTAAATCAGAGCGGAAAGTCTTAAATTCATAAAGTCATGCCATTAAATTTAGCATGCATTGGTGGAAAGAAATAATCTCTTCCTCTTGTTTTCCAAATATCGAAACATCCTTAAATCAAGATACATTTACTGAAGATGCAAACTGGAGATATGAAGTTTTCAGAGAAATTGATCAAAATGAAGTGAATTTATGATTAAAACAAGAACAAATATCTGCCAATGAGGAATGAAAATAGTTTTTCCTTTGAATGAAGATTTTTCTGTTGGCAGATATTTGTTTTTGTTTTGATCATAAAGTCACTTCATTTCTATCAGTTTCATAGTAAACTTGTAGACTTCTGTCATTTTGCTTCTCAGTGTATCCTAATTCGAGAATCTTCAGACATTTGCACTGGACAACAATACAGAGGAAGAGCATCACGTTTTTTGCAGGGTGATCAGAAGATAACAGTTCTTTCCGGTTTCTAGTTAAGCTGTTTTCAATTTTTATTTAATTTTTGTTGGACTGTTGCTAATACAACTCATTCTGTGCTCCCTAGACATTTATATTTAGATGTCATATTGATGTATTATGTTCCCTTCAATAGATATACATCTGCTTTCTGTGGTTTGACGCGTGGGCTGTGTCTCTCTCCTCAGGTGGTCACCGGCGGTCACTATGACGTGGACTGTCGTCTGGAGGATCCGGATGGGACGGTCCTCTATAAAGAGATGAAGAAGCAGTACGACAGCTTCACCTTCACCGCCTCCAGGAATGGCACGTTCAAGTTCTGTTTCAGCAACGAGTTCTCCACCTTCACGCACAAGACCGTGTACTTCGACTTCCAAGTCGGCGACGACCCTCCGCTTTTCCCCAACGAGAACCGAGTGACGGCTTTAACGCAGGTGATGAGTTACATTCACCGCATTAGCAAGTCTGACCAGATCTGTGCTTTCAGTCATGCTCCGGCAGAGGAACATGGCCTTGTTGTTTATTTAGCATGTGTTATTGATTGCCAAAATGATCAGAGCACTAGTATTCTCAGCAGATAAAAATGTGTTTAAGTCAGTTATTTCTATCGTTTGCTGTAGTGTGTCAGCAGGAAATATCGGTTTACATTTCCAAACATTCATTTGGCCATTAATTGTAATAATGCAGTGAGATTTGAGATCTGATCATCATCAGTCTGTCTGGAGTCACATGAAGAAACAGAACAAACTACTGCGACCGCGTCTAATGCTGCTGCTTTGTTTCAGATGGAGTCCGCCTGCGTCTCGATTCACGAGGCTCTGAAGTCTGTGATCGACTATCAGACGCACTTCCGTCTGCGAGAGGCTCAGGGCCGCAGTCGAGCGGAGGATCTGAACACCAGAGTGGCCTTCTGGTCCATCGGAGAGGCCTTCATCCTGCTGGTGGTCAGCATCAGTCAGGTGCTGCTTCTCAGGAGCTTCTTCTCAGACAAGAAAACCACGACAACCCGCGTGGGGTCATAACCGGGTCACGTCGAAGGGGTTTTATACAAATATGAGTTATTTAAACAAACGCCTTGAGCTAGTTTTCTCTAGTCCTGTGTGTGCTCCTCAGCTCGTATCCTGCAGAATATTTCAGCGCTGAGAATTAAACTGCTTTATTTATTTTGTGGCTGTGTGTTGACTCTTTACATGTATGTGAATGTTAAAGGATGTACAGACACTGTAGACCGGCTTGACACACCAGTCGTCTGATTGCATCATCATCATCATCATCATCATCACCCGTTCAGTCTTCATGTGTGAATCCGAGAGAGCTTTATGTTGTACAACCTTGCAAATGTTTCCTAGTCGTCTTTTTCTTTTCATGACGTTGGTGTAATTGTTGTGTTGCTTTTTTTTAGCGGTGCATAGATTTCTTGTTTGAATTGGTTAATAAATGTCTGGAGGAACTCTACAGTCCTTTTCAAGTGCACATCTTATCAAGTATAATTTATTTTAAGCTGCAAGAAGAGAAATCTAAGGATCACTGCACAGAGTCTGATCAGCTGAGGTGGATTAAAAGGCCTTAAGATGGCTTCATTTGTATATCTCTGGTTGTGTATTGACTCCATCCATTCGTTCAGGTGTGGATCTGTCTGTGCATAAACTACAGCAAAACTCACCAGTTTAAAGGATTGTTTCACACTTTACACTAGCCTAGTTTGTAATAGCTCATAAAGCATAACTCTACAGCAGATCTCTGCTCTTTGCCTCCTCTGATCAGCATTAAACAAGCTGTGTAACGACACCTTAATGCCACTTTACAAGTGTTTTTGTGCCGCCTTTGCAGTGTAAATGTGACATTGGCTGTGTAAAGATAATTATTAGTGTGCACAGGTTTCTTCAGTATTGAGTCACTGCTTGTGATCACATTCGTTTGCATTTAGCATGAAAGCAAATGTTTTCTTTGTACAGTTCCCACAGTTGTAAGAAAAATAAAGCAGAAACGTGAAATCAATGATGCGTAATAAATCCATTTTCTTTTTTAAAGCACTTTACTGGCATGATTGTGCTTACATACAACACTGGCAAAGCATGCACAGATCAAGTAGTAAGCAGAAAAATCAATATACATTTAATAATTGAGTTAAATCTCTTTTTTTGGTGCATTTTACCTGTAAAAGAAAGCCTGCTTAATAATTATGCACACCTGAGTAAGGCATTTTTTGGTTCATTCCTGGGATCCTGTGCCTTTTGGACATCATAACACTTAAAAAATGAAACATTTTTTAAAATTAATTCTAGTGTAATCATAATGGGGAGCTGTAAAACATGTGAAAAATTATTTTGGTATATAAATATATGGTATATACAACCTTATTAAACACATTTTTAGCTGCTGATAATACTAGTGTTCTAATGATTTTGGCCACCACTGTAAGGCATATCTGCAGGAAACAGAAACAGCAGACGAGCTGAATGAGACGCAGATGCACTCTCTGACAGCAGGTGGCGCTCATGGAACTGCAGCGATACAGTGTTTCCTTGATTACCGCTGTAAACAAAGCTAACAAACAATGCTTTAATATGTATGATATAGAGACAAGATAAACCGAAAACACCATCTAAACTTTCTGACGACAGTCAGTTCGTTCATATAAACGCATTCATATAAACCCTCAATTGTATCGCGATTCGTTTAACATCTCAACCGACTTGAATCATCACATTTTCATTGATTTATCAGGCTGCATCGTTACATCCCTACAATTTAAGCTTGTATTGAAAGCATGAGAATGTATGCGTCTGATCTTGTTGTTGTTTGTAGGACGGAGCCGCGGGGCAACCCTATGCCATGGATTTAAAAAGTGCTGTTTTCAACGCCGCCCGAGACGGCAAACTGAGGCTCCTCCAGAAACTCTTAGAGAACAAGAGCGATCACGACGTGATGAAGCTGATGGCGGAGAAGACCAACGGAGCGACGCCGCTGCTCATGGCTGCGCGGTACGGGCACCTGGAGCTGGTGGAGTACCTGATCGAGTGCTGCTGCGCATCTGTGGAGGTCGGAGGCTCGGTGAACTTCGACGGGGAGATCATCGAGGGAGCGCCGCCGCTGTGGGCCGCCTCGGCCGCCGGACATCTGAAAGTCGTGCAGTCTCTGCTGGGACACGGTGCGTCTGTGAACAATACGACTCTTACGAACTCCACCCCGCTGAGAGCCGCGTGCTTCGACGGACACTTGGATATTGTCAGGTACCTGGTGGAGCACAAAGCGGATCTGGAAGTGGCCAACAGGCACGGACACACCTGCCTCATGATATCATGTTATAAAGGCCACAAGGAGATCGCGCAGTACCTGCTGGAGAAAGGAGCCGATGTCAACCGGAAAAGCGTGAAAGGTGAGACTAGGGATGTGCAATATTTATCATCTGCGATAATATCGCAATTGTTGTTTTAATGATGTGTGATTTGACATTATTGAGTATTTTGCAAAAACTCCTACAGAGTGCACGCATGCATGACGTGATGAAGTCTAGACTAGTGCGAGAGTGTGTTCTTTCACCGCATGATTCAGTCTATTAAGGGTGCTTTCACAGCTGTAGATCGATTGCTTTGTTCCGAAACAGGGATTAAAATTATTACAATGTTGCTTTTTATTCTTGGTGCGGTTCGCTTTCACACGGCATGTTTCTAAACGGACACATCACGTCACGTGCTAGTAAACTGTCCTCTCATTGGTCAAAGTTTCCACGGCTGTCATCCGTCAGGAGGCAACGACAACAGCTTTTTTGTTTTTGTAGCTGTCGTTATATTAATTTATCATTTTGAGCAGGAGTCCAGGATTCATCGGGAGAACATTTTTAAAATGCACCTACTAGGAAGAAGAGCAATGAGACGGCATTATAAAATGAAAAAGTGCGCTTTTTTATTTTGAATGGCGAAGACGTGCTCACACACAGACATTCACAGGTTCATTTTGAAGTATTAGCAAAACAACAAAGCTAATGCTTTTCACGGAACTTACGTAATTACCCATCATACATTGTGATATAGCCTGGTTCGTTGGTCCGTTAGATCGGATTGCTTTCTCACTACAACCGAACCGCTCCAGAGTTAGTTTTCAATCTAGCCAAGACCACCTCGTTCAGGCGATCTCGGACCGGTTGTTTTGGCGCGGATCCGAGCGCGATTGCTGTGTTCACATATGCCCAAACGAACCGAGCTAAGGGGGGAACCCGCCAGGTTCCGAAACAACGAGCCAGGTGTGAAAGCACCCTGAAATACATTCAGAATGATCACAAATTCAAGACATGGGGGCAGAAAATGTATATATGTATACCACTTCATATAGAATAGTTAATCAGTTTCACATGAAGAGTGCCGTTTTTTTTCATTACAAATTATATTGATTTTTTACAACAGTTCAATAAACAAGAAGTTAATTAAGAGACTTATGTTTTAGACAATATATTTCCTGTGTTTGCGCTATTTCGACAACAAAAATAATTCACAGCCACAGCGCTGTTCTGCGTCTCTGAGCAACAGGACGGCGTTTCGTTCCTGAATGAATCAACCGTTTAAATGATTCGGTTCAATCGCAATGACTCACTAATTAACAGTGACTTGCTGCCACCTGCTGGCGGTTTTAGTTTCACATTGAAAGTATCTATTCAACGTTTTATGATTCATATATCAAAACATTATTTATGCATTTGTAATTGCAGGTTAAATGCATTCATGTCCTGCATTAAACAGTGTGTAAATACATTTACATTTAGTCATTTAGCAGACGCTTTTATGCAAAGCGACTTACAACGTAGAAGCAATCAGACCAACGAGAGAGCAGCAATATACAAGTGCTGTGACGAGTCTCAGTTAGTCTAGCACAGTGCACACAGCAAGGTTTTTTATTTAGTTTTTTTTTAATTAAATTAGACCAAAACGAATATAATAGGTAAGTGCTAGTATTAATTGGTCAGGTGATGGTGAAAAAGATGTGTCTTTTAGATGTTTTTTGAAAATGGCTAAAGACTCAGCTGCTGGGATTGAGATCGGCAGGTTGTTCCAGCAGCTGGGGACAGTCCAGGGAAAGGTCTGTGAGAGTGATTTTGAGCCTCTTTGGGATGAACCACGAGGCGTCGTTCACTTGCAGAACACAAGCTTCTGGAGGGCGCGTAGGTCTGAACTAGCGAGTTTAGGTATATTGGTGCAGCGCAAGTGGTGGTCTTGTAGGCAAACACCAGTACCTTGAATATGATGTGAGCAGCTACTTTAATAATTTTTTATTTTTTTATGCTTAATTTTGTTCAGTCTGTGGTGTAAAAATGGTCACATTAGCAATTAAAGAAAAAACACTTAAGCAAAACATGATCCGGTCAAAGTGTCTGAATAATTTTTGGTCCCAAATTTTTATCTGTTTTCCACTGTATGAAGAATTTTTGGTTATGTCACAGTTTACTTTATTTTTCTATCCTCACTTACATAAATGAACTATAGTGTCCTGCACCCACTAGTAAAAATTATATCTTGTGTCTGAATAATTTTTGGTTTAACTGTATTTTAGCACAGCTTCTGTTTATCTTCAGTGACTGTAGTATGTCTGTCATTCATCGATGCGTCTCTGACGACTTGCGTTCTGTGTGCTCTTTGTCTTGAAGGTAACACGGCTTTACACGACTGCGCTGAGTCCGGGAGCTTGGAGATCATGAAGATGCTCCTGAAGTACGGCTCCACCATGGAGAAGGACGGCTACGGGATGACGCCGCTGCTCTCCGCCAGCGTGACGGGACAGTCCCTCTCTCCTTTTGCCAAACCCCCAGACAACATCACATCCATGCCATTGCTGAGCAACAACAACAACACGGAAACATGTCGAAAAGTCTAACTTTAACCACGAAACCAGATCGGCCGACCTGTAACGTTACACTCTTTGTTTTGCTTCCTCCAGCTAGTGCTGTGACGTCGGCTGACCCTAGTTAGCTGTGGTTGGCCTGGCCGTGCGTCACTCAGAACACAACAGGCCAATCAGAAGAAAGGCTCATGAATATTAATTATACAGACCAAAATCGACCTGTTCTCAGCAGAGCTCCTGAGAGAGGAGCTGTAAAAATATATTGAGATGGTTTTTGGTACTTATACCGCAAATATATATTCTTAAGGACATCAAAACCTAAAATAAAACTCCAGAAATGTGTACAATATGTGACCTTTAAGTGTTTTGACTTAAGGGTATCCCTGAGGGGAAAAAAATCCATAAAGCTTATGATACATGGGGCATCTTTTTTTGAGCAGTGTTGCTTGGGCACTTTCCCACTGAGAATGGGTAACAAATTTCTATCTGGATACTAGGGCTGCACGATAAATCGCATGCAATTGTCATGCGCATCTCATCAGTAAAGCCGGTTCCGTGACTAGTAGTAAATCTCCATCATGTGCTTTCGTCGCAATATCGCGTTCATAATCGAAGGCGATTCTTCTGCGATTATCAACGCGATATTGCGTAGCTTGTCAGTGAACTACGGCTCTGTGTATTAAATGCCACTCCATCTGAAAGCACATGATGGAGATTTACTACTAGTCACGGAACCGGCTTTACTGACGAGATGCGCATGACAATCACATGCGATTAATTGCACTGCCCTAATTTGTGATCCGTTGAACCACTGCTGATGACTCGGAGAGGGTGTGATCTGTGTGTCGCTCAGTTCCCTGTTGGACTGTCTGCAGTCTTTAGTTCTCTTAACCCAACACTTTTAAGTCTCCTTGAAGTCCCCTTTTATTTTCTTACTACATGTTACTGTAAATGATTCATCTGTGAATTTTATTCTGATCTGTTTTTAATAATGATTTTTAATCATCTTTAATCGTCCTGATGTGACTCATCATTCAGGTCCGCCTTCATTCTGATGTTCACATGCCAATCAACAAGCGCTGGATGAAATCACGTCTGCCCTACATTTTTATTTTCTAGTTTGATATCTGCTTAGATTGAAAATACATCACAATACAGTAGCGGAAGTCCGTGGAAACATTTTGTACGTTTGTATAGTGTTTAAATCAGGTGGTAAATGTGATGACCCTACACATACAAACAGACTGGAAACATCATGACTGATATCTGATCAGGTGTAGTTGTGTAGATCGCTCCTGGAGTCTGTTTCTGCATGTTTGTGTTTTTGCACCAGATAAACATTGTCTTAACACTAGAACCGCCAGAGGTCGCTGTATACCTAAAAGCGCCAGCAGGTACATTTTACCCACGCACATGGCAACTGTATTTATATGGCTATTATTTCACTGTATTATGCCACTGTCTTCACAAAGAAGTGTCTAGAGTCATGAAATGATTGTCTAGTCATCAACTATATTTTTATCCTGTTGTTTTATGTTCAAGACTTTTTAATGCAGGCTACACTAATCCATAACGGTCAGTAGCCT